CCAGTCCCCTGCCAGCCTTGCCCACAGCCCAGATCCATGATCCTGAGGCACTTGGTCCTTCCCTCCACATTCCCTTCCCTCCTGCAGAACTCTCCATCATCCCTCAGCCCAGCTCCTGCCATGACCACTCCACCCCCAGCTGCTTTCTGGAGGTTCTGCAGCGCTCACAACTCAGGCACTGATGCATTTAAGATCTAAAAATACCAAAATAGCGAGTGAGGTGTTCCCAGCACTTCGTGATGGCCCCAGCACGACAGGACTGCGGGGTCTGGCAGGAACTGGGTGGGTTTTTCCTCCCTCCTTCCCAGCAAAGGCAGCAGCACATGGACTCCTGTCATCAGCCCAGCCTGCTGGCATCCCAAACGCTGTTCCCCTGCTCAAGCAGCAGCAGCTGATGATTAGAAAATGTGCTGTTTGTTTCAGAAGAGCACGCTGGGCCCTTGGAAGAATTCACTCGCTTCCACTGACCGTACAGCACACACCCCACGGGTCTGCAGGGCCACTCTCCATGGCTCCTGCCCTTCCAAGGGCCAGCTGCCAGGAAAGAGGGTTTGAAAGAGCCTGGCTGAGAGGACAGAGCCCATCCACCAGCCCAGGGACAGAGCTGCTGCCTGGGATTGGAATTCTCTGGCAGCAAAGCAAATGCAATGGGTGATTGTCCCTCAGGCTGCCCAGGAGAACAGGGGATGATTTGTGTCTGGTTGTTTGTCACAGTCAGGGCACTGAGAGGACTAAAATGCAGGCAGGGAGTCTGGGAGTTCCCCTTGGTGCCCAAATTCTGGAAAACACCCTGCTCAGGACATCAACAGGCTGACCCCTCCGGGTTCCCTGCATCTCTGACCACAGGAACCCTCCCTGCAGGACCCTCCCTGCTGCTGTCCCCAGGGTGGGGACACCTGGTGAATCACCTGCCCCAGGAGCAGGGCTGGAGCTCCCAGAGATGTGCAGCACCACGGGATTCCTCTTTAATTACACAGGGCCTTAATGGAGTTTGCTGGTAAACACCTTGTAACCACATGTGCCTGCAGATTACGGGGTAATTACGCTTAGAGGATCACGATCTAAGAGCAAGCATGATTTAGGGAAGACAAAAATAACCAGGCAAACATGCTGCATTCATCAGGATCTGTCAGGAAGCCTCCCATCCCAAATGCTTCGCTGTCCAGCCTTTCCTCTCTCAGAGCAGGGGCAGGAATTTGAGAGGTGCCAGGGATAGGGACGAAACTTTCCACTTGGCATACCAAACCTACTTTGGGAGCTCTCCGTGCTCCAACAGCTGCTCCAAGGATGGGGAAAAATGGCTGAGCCCACCCTGAGCTGGCTCACCATCAGATTCTGGCCCCATTTTTGCCAGGTGCACGTTGGAGGCAGGAGGGAGGCTGGGGGTGTGAGCCAGCCCCCATCACCCCGGGCACACTGATCCAGACCCTGCCCATCCACAGCTGGCCAGGGTTTCACCCCCAGGAGCTGGGATGTCCTTGCTGGGACCCAGAGCAAGCAGGGGCACCTCGCTGATGCCAAAAGCAGTGCCCAGGCTGGCAGAGCCCAGGCTGGCAGAGCCCCTGTGCCACCCCAGAGGAGCTGGGGATGATGTGCAAATCCCACGGGGTGACTCACAGCCAGCACTCCACGGACCTGCAGCACCCAGACCTGCTGGCTCCCTCCAGAGCAGCAGAAGGGATCCTTCCCACTGTTTCAGAGGCTGAAATCCTCGGGGCAGTGGCAGCTTTAACCCTTTCAGCACAAACACAGCATCAGACTCCCCGCCCGGATTCCCAGGGAGATGCTGGCTGCAGGCAGAGCCGACTCCAGGGGTGATTTTAGGGGATGTTCTCTTGGCCAAGGGTTCATCCTACAAGCTCCAGCTCCCACGGAAATGCCAAGCAGCAGCACAGACCTGTTTGCTAGGGTAGGGATCCATTTGTAAGCAATTAGTGAGAGGCAGTGATAGCCTAACAAAGGTAAACAGCAGCACTGTGCCCTCCAAACCCTCACTGCACGTCTGGAATCCCAGGAGCAGAGGCCACCTTCCCACCCTGCCACCCTCAGGGCCAGCTGAGCTGCTCTGCAGCCTCAGGACAGGAATTTACACCTGACATCAAGTGGTTTTATCTCTTCACCCCAAATACACAATTTTCACCTGGCTTTGCCTTCATTGTGGGACAGATGCTGACATGGTGACACCCACATCCAGGCTGAAAAGCGACCCCCTGTCCCCTCAGCAAGGCTCCTGTGCATGGAGCATCTCCGGGGATAATCCCAGCAAATCCTGCCCAGAGTTCCTGGAGGCCTGGCAGATTTGCTCAGCAGCGTGGCTCGGGGCCAGCCGTGGCCCACAGCCACAGGTTCCCTGCCTCACATCAGCTCCAGGCAGGGGAGAAGCGTGAACAAAATGCACCCAGCGAAATGGGAAGCAGTGGTGGGAATTCACAGATCAGATGGTGGCATTCTGTCCCTCAGCTCTGCCTCTCCTTCCTTTGCCAGCCCCAAAATTTTAGGCCTGCAGGCACAGGCACACCTGGGCATCATAAATTTGTGCACAATCTGGCTTCTTCAGCCTTTGTCCTGGGGGGAAAACAGCCAAAAAATGAAAGCAGCAGGCCTGGCCATGCTGGGAGGGCTGGGAAGCCTCTGGCAAGTGGCACCAAACTCCAGTGAGCCACTGGCCACCAGCAGAGGGGTGAAAAAGCCATGGTTGGTCAGTGCCAGGGGCATCACGGGGGTGACACAGAGATGGCACTGGCACAAGGCTGCAGGATTTGGGTTTTGTGCCTCGTGGATGGATTGGAGGGCTACAGGCTGGGGAGGGATGCCCAGAGCTGGGTGAGGCAGCTCTTGGCACCATTCACAGAACGTGCTGAAGGCAGAGATGGCCCCTCAGCCCAGTCTGGCTCTCAGAGCCGTGCTGGAACACAAGTGAAGCAGCATTTGGGCATCCAAGCCCTGCTCGGAGCCCTCCAGCTGCTGGGAGAGCAACTGGGAGCCCAGGAAGGCAGAGCCAGCCCCAGCAGGGCTTGCACAGCCCTGGGGGGGTCCCAAAGGCCCCTGCAGTGACCCATAAAGCACCAACCCCCAGCACCCTGAGCAACCAGGGGGTGCCACAGAGTTACCAAGCCTTGACTAAACAGGTGGCTACTTAAACTGGGGAAATGGCAACTTAGGCAAAGACTGCAAAGCCCCCCAAAGGGCTTGGCAAGAGCCCTGGCAGCTGCTGGCACTGCTGAGTGATGTGCCCAGGGCCACAGAGCCGGGTGGTGGCAGAAGGAGGAGCAGCTCCCAGGGACTTCTGGCTGTGCCCAGTAACCTCCCTGTGTGGCAGGGCAGAGCAGGAGACAGGCAGCAGGGCTTGTGTCCCTGGCACCTCTCTGGGCAGAGCAGGGGGCAGGCAGCAGGGTTTGGCACCTCCCTGGGCAGAGCAGGGGGCAGGCAGCAGGGTTTGGGCAGAGCAGGGGACAGGCAGCAGGGTTTGGATCCCTGGGCAGGGCAGGCAGCAGGGTTTGTGTCCCTGGCACCTCCCTGGGCAGAGCAGGGGACAGGCAGCAGGGCTTGGACAGAGCAGGGGGCAGGCAGCAGGGCTTGGCACCTCTCTGGGCGTGGGAGGCCGCAGCTGAAGGAGTTTTGCAGCACCATCAGCTAGCTGGAACACAGCAGTGCCACAAACAGCCCTTATCTCCAGCAGCAGCTATTACGAGCTGGCAAGGAATCCCAAAAGGAACCAACAGGCGTTTGTCAGAATCGGCTCCGAGGAAGCCCAGCAGTCCCACCTGGCCACGGTGGGCACCGACCCCAGCAGGGCTCTGCAGCAGCCCCCAGGAGCAGAGGAGGACCCTTTGTTTCGGGCATCCTGCAGGATCAGGATCAGTCCCTATTGTTTCCCACCTAGGCAGCTCCAGCCCCGCTCCCCCCGAGGGGGCTCGCTCCTGCCCCAGGTGTGGCTCGGGCACAGGGCACCTGGAAACTTTGCCTCTGACACAGCCCAACAGAGCTGGAATCACCTGTTCTGTTGCCTCGCAGCGTGCCAAGGCATTTTTCACGGTGTTTTGCTCGGGAACCACCCCAAGCCCTCGGATTGAGAAACCTCAGCACGCCAGTGCAATGGAGAAGTTGCTGCTCTGCTGTTTTGTGCCTGGGGGAGGGCTTGGCTCCTCACACAGCTCCAGGAGCCACGGGAGGGCCAGGGGGGCTTCCCTGGGCAGGTTAGCCCAGGAGGAGGCCCCTCAGGTGGCCTTCAACAGCGACTCCTTCACCAGGGACTTGCTGCTTTTAAAGGCAGGATCACAGCCGTGGTGCCAGCGAGGTGGGCACAGCTGTCACCCAGCACGTCAGGCAGGGAAAAGAAATTGACTGCGACTTGCTCAACCCTGATCAATCTTCCCAGACTTTCCAGCAAGGGCACAGAATCCAAAGTGAGCAGCCTGGTGCCAGTTCTCGTCTTATGCAGCACATTTCCGAGCTCTGCTTCTTTAGAAATTCATCCACAGCGCATGAGTGCCTCCGTCCCTGTCTCACACGCACAATAGCAACACCCACATCCCCAGCTGCAGAAGGTTTGGGGTTTTTTTTATTTTTCCAGGATTGCACCTGTGCTTTGCTCAGGTTTCTGGGTCTCTCCTCGCCCTCCTCCTCCTGCCCTCCCGTCCATTTCTGCCCAGGCAGAGGCAGCAGCAAGTGAGGCTGTGCCTGTCAGAGCGCTCCTGGCTGCCTCTCACCATGTTGCGTATCGACATTTCAGTCGATGCTCTGCCCTCCAAAACCCCAGAAATCCAAGCCAAGAAAAGTACTCCGCGGAGATAAGCGCCACGGCTCAGCCCACATCAAACACAGCCGAGCCAGAGCCTGTCAGAAAGCAGGCGAGCAAAAGGCAGGCAGGAAAACAACCCAAAATCCATCCCGCTAGGCTTGTCAGCGCCGGGATGACATTTTCTTTCCGATTGCTCCCAGCCAGCTCGGTGCGGTATCAGCCCCATTCCCCAGGCAAGGCGAGAGGACGCCGTACTCACTGCTCGTGCTCATCCTGCCGCTCCTTCCCCGTCCTCCTCACCCAACAAAGGGGCGAAGATGCTCTTCAAACCCGCTTCTCCTGCCGCGGGAGGAGGCTGCCGCTCTCCTTCTCCCCGGAGAATATTCCCGTGCGATCCGCCGCCTAACGCATCCCACGGCGGCTGTCCCCAGGGCTGTCCCCGCGGCCGGCGGATGCCAAGGTCACGGCTGGCGGGGAGGGGGCCGGCGCCGACACCGGCCCGGGGGAGGGTCCCGGGGGAGCGGCGGGGGCCGGCCGGAGCTCGGCCATGCACTGCGGAGCGCGGAGGTGGCTGAAGGATGCTCAGCCTTGGCAGTGCCCTGCCCTGCTTTGCTCTGCCCGCTGCCCTCTTCTGCCCACTGCTGTGCCCTGCCCAGCTTTGCCCTGCCCTGCCCTGGCTGCAGTTGTGCCCACAGCCCTGTCCAGCCCAGCCCTGCCCTGCCCTACCCTTCCAGCTGCCCTGTTTTCAGTCCCCTGTCCTGCCCTGCCCTGCCCTCTTCTGCCCAGTGCCCTGCCCTGCCCGCAGTCCTGCCCACAGCCCTGTCTGCCCACAGCCCTGCCCAGCCCAGCCTTGCCCTGCCCTGGCTGCAGTTCTGCCCACAACCCAGCCCAGATTTACCCTGCCCTGCCCTTCATCTGCCCTGTTTTCAGCCCCCTGCCCTGCTCCCTGCCCTGCCTGCAGCCCCTGAGCCCCCTGGCTGGTCCCTCCTTGCCACAGGGCTCCTGCCAGCCCCGGGTGCCCTGCTGCCTGCCCTGTGCTGTTTGCTGTCCAGCTGAGCAGCCCAGAAATGCTGTCCCAGGACAGAGGGATGTGGTTTTTGCAGTAAGCTGGATTTCCTCCCGTGCCAAGATTCCCTCCCGCAGCTGTCCAGGCTGGCAGCCCTGGCTCTCCTGGCAGCCTGGGCATCTGTCCCACGCCAGGATGGGGAAGGGAGCTGAGGGTGTCTGCACGGCTGTGGGACAGAGAGGGGCTTTTCCCTCGGGATCAGAGCAGCCTTCCCTGCTGGCTGCACCTCGGGATCCCTGCCAGGGCTTCAAAGCCATGAGCCCCTTGTTTTGTGGCCAAAACACTCTCAGTCAGAACAAAGCCATGCCCAGGCTGCTCCCTGGGTGCCCACAGAGCTGTGCCCCCTGCCCGTGCAGCCCCCAGGAAGCCGTGCTGTGGTTCCAAGCTGTGGTTCCAAGCTGCGGTTCCAAGCTGCGGTTCCAGGATCTGAGCTGCAGCCCTGCCACTAATGACAGAGGTTTGTCATGCAGCGTGACAGGCGCCGCGTCTCCCGCGCTGCTGGGGCTGCAGAGCTGCTCAGAGAGCCCCTTTGGCTTTCCTGCTGCTTTATCTGCAGCAGATGCTGCCGGTGACGTGACAAGACAGGTAGCAGGTCGCCTGAGCTGTGCCGGTGCTGCCAGCTCTCTGCACGCCCTGCTGCCTGTCCCCTTGGGCTGTCCCCTCCCCTGAGGTGTCAGGGAAGAGCAGGACGAGCAGTGGGAGTGGGAGCCTGGAGGTTCCTGCAGGGCTGGGGGGAGCAGAGCTGCTGATACAGGAAAGATTGAGAGATGCTGTTTACGAGAGCATGTAGTGACAGGACAAGAGGGAGTGGCTTTAGAGGAGGTTTAGATTAGATATTGGGAAGAAATTCCTCCCTGTGAGGGTGGGGAGGCTCTGGCACAGGGTGCCCAGAGAAGCTGTGGCTGCTCCTGGATCCCTGGCAGTGGCCAGGGCCAGGCTGGATGGAGCTCAGAGGCACCTGGGCTAATGGAAGGTGTCCCTGATCCCTTCCAACCCAGGCTATTCTATAATTCTGTGGTGATTCTATGGCACAGCACGGTGGGATGGCTCAGGCTGCACTGAGTTTGGCCTTCTGTAAAGTTTCCTGTGCCTGATGAGTGTCCAGGAGTGCCCTCCTCAGGGAAGGTCCCCATCCCAGCCAGACTGTCGTGAGTGGTGCCAATGACACCCATCTGAGGAGTCAATAAAGCAGCCAGGACGTGAGCTGGTCCCCACGGTTCAGCAGCTAATTGAGCTCCTTCCACTGACCTGGTTTCCAAATCTCGTTAACTTGCTGCCTTTAGAACAACTTGAAATCTCCAGCACAGACAGGCTGGGCTTGCAGGGGGCTGCACAGGAGGATGGGGTGCTCTGGTGGAGCTCGGGGGGCACCGGTGCAGAACCTCTGCCCTGGCATCCCCTCCCCAGCGGGGTGGTGCTCTGTGGGCAAGGGAAGCGGGCACTGCCAGGCGGGCAGGGTGCCGTGCTCCCTGCAGTGGGATCTGCGAGTTTTGGTGCTGTGGAGGTGGCAGCAAGGAGCTGTGACCCTTGTCACCTCCCCAGCCCAGCCAGCAGCTCCTGGGCGCTGCTCCGAGCCCCTCACCATCACCATCAGCGCCGTCCCAGGGCGTTTTGGAAATCCCATTTCCTTTCCTTTGTCTGAGCGAACTGCCTGCGAAAGCTGCCGGGAGAGGATGTTGGGGATGCCTGAGACAGGGGTCAGAAAGGAGGAAATGTCAGGATGTTAAGGCAGCCTCCTTTCATCCCTTTGTGTCTGTGCACTGCAACATGAATTTTCACAGCAATTATTGGCTGTGTTTTTCCCACACGACTCCTGCTCCGTTCAGCACCTGCAGGTCCCACAGAGCTCGGGCTGTGCAGAGCAAGGGGAACCCTGCAGAGAAGGGACACAGGAGTGATGGACACAAAAGGACAGAGGAGAAAAAGGTGCTAATTTCATTTAATTTTCCTTCCCTGGACACTGGGATTTTTATCCCTCCTCCATAAGATGCTGAGAATCACCTGAACCAAACTTCCCCTGCCTGCTCAGTCGCCGTGTTCCTCCTTTCCCAGTGCCTGATCCCAGCTGGAGAGCTGGGAGCTGCTGGTTGAGCGTGGAACCACTGCGAGCTGGGCTCAAACACATCTTGTGCCACACCTGCGCCAGGAATTGGGAGAAATCAGGCTCGGTGCCTCTCCACGTGTCTCTGCCGTGTTTCCATGTGAGGCTGTGCTCAGCTGCTGTCCCTGGGAAGGGATTTTGGACCCCAGGGCTGCAGGAGCATCCCAGGGAATGGGATCCCCCCTCACTGCCGAGGGACTCGGGACAGATGAGGAATGGTGAGGCTGCAATTTCGGATAGCAGGAGCTGGGAGAGACAGTCAGGAGAGAAAAGGAGCACAGAAACAGCCTGTCCTGGAGGCACAGCGGGATGGGCCCTCAGCAGCCTGGGCTCCGGCGTTTCTGGTTCATTGGGAGCCGGAGCATCCCTTCAGCACCCCGGGACACCGCCCACACCTCCGTGCTGGCAGCACCACCTTCCAGCGCTCTTTCCCAGCCTCTTGCCTTCCACTGGGAGTCATTTGGGTGCACAGCCTTTGCTGCCGGGCTCCGAGAATCCCCGGCGGGCTGGAAATGCCCCTGCCGGGCATGGCAGCTGCAGCGCCCATGTGTCCGTCTGTCCCTGCGGCTCCAGCTGGCCAAACGCGGCCCTGCCAGCCCAGCCCCCGGCCCGGCTCCTGCCCAGCACAGCCTCTCCTGTCTCCAGGAAGACACGAGTGCAAAGAACAGCGGGGATGCCCGTGGGGACAGCCCCACGCCTCGCACGGAGCAGCGGGCAGGCTGCAGAGAGGCACGACTGACTCATCACAAGCTGGTGACATTTTCCAAAAAAAGCCTCTAAGTCCGGGGCTGTGATGTTCCCAAAAGGCAGCAGAGGAGCCTAAGGGGGCTGGAGACCCTGTTCTAGCACGGCACATGGGCTGTGGCATGGCATGGAGGAAATTCTGCCTCGCTGGGCAGTTCCCATCCCTTTTCTCTTGTCCCTGGTTGCCCTGGGAGGTGGGATCTGCCAGGGGTAAGGTCAGGCGTGGGCAGATCCTGCTGTCCACTGCCCCAGTGCAAAGCCAGGCACTCCTGGTGATGGCAGAATTATTTCCCATGTGATGGAAATGAATATTTAATTTGTGAGTCCCTGGACCACAGAGCAACTGGGAGCAGAGGCAGTGAACTGGGGCCCTGGTGCCTCGTCCAGCAAAGGTCCCCTCTCTTCCTCCTCCTCCTCTTCTTCCTCACAGCCACCACCAAGGCATTTGCCAGGGGTTTGGCTTTCTTCCAGTTTCCCCAGCAGAAACCCTTCTTCTTCCCTTCCCAGCAATTCCCCACATCAGCAGGAGACACAGCCCGGCAGAGGCAGATGTTCCCCGGGCTGCCTGCATTAAAGTGATAATCAAATGATAGATTATTTTCAAGCAAACTCTCATTTTCAGGCATTAATTTTAGTGCTGTGCAGAGGGAGGCAGTGAAAAGAGCACCCAGGCAGTGGAGGATGGGTGGGATCTGGAAGTGCTCCAGGGAAAGCTGATGCACCACAGCCCATCTGGACCTGGAGCCATCCTGCAAAGCCATGAAGGAATGGCTCCATCCTTTGGCTCCTGCATCCTCCTTCCTTCTTAGCCTCACCAAGGCTGCCTCTGGCTCAAATGCAACAAATATTCCCAAACCAACAGCAGGTGAGTCAAAGCACGTCCTGCAGAAGCTCTGCACATCAGGAATGCCCACATTCCCTCCTGAGAGACCTGGACACCGGGAGAGGAGAGGTGCTGCATGGCCTGGACTGATCCAGGAGTGATGGCAAAGGTTTAAGGGCTTTGAAAGTCAGTGTTTTCCCTAAAACCTGTGAATCTTTCACCCCGGAGTGCTCTGGAAAAGGAGGAGCAGTGGTTGTGTCACACAGCAGGGCTGGGGCTGCCGGGCTCTGTCAGGGCTCAGTGCCCGAGCTGGGGCTGCATCATTTCCCTGGCACACCCTGAGTGTGACACAGAGGGACCTTTGTGGGCACAGCCACGCTGCTGAGCCCAGCTGGCAGCTCCTGCCTGGCACACAGAGCTCAGTTCCAGCTGCAGCCTGGGTCCCTGCCCTGCTTTCCCCCCTCTGAAGGGCAGGGGAAATCGGGGCTCATTTCAGTTTTCTCTTTGAAGCTGCCCTGCAGCAGCCAGGGCTGCTGGCAGAAGGAATTCCTGACTTGGGTTGGGATCAGGAGATGCCCATGAACAGCCTTGCCCAGCATGAGCCACCAGTGGGAAGCCCAGCTCTGGGATCTCTGCACTCCTGGAATTCCTCCTGCCTTCCCAGAGCTCCTCAGGGAGCACCCCCTGCTCAGCAGCACCTCGGGAAATGCTGCTGCTCTCTTATTGCTGCAGTGGGATTGTCACAATAATTCAGTTTTCCTTTTGTTCCTCAGATTATTCCATGAGAAAACCAGGAATCAGGGTGATTCTGGGGGAATTTAGGGCACCTGCAGGAACTGGAGCTCAGGCCAGGTCTCCAGATCCTCAGGAGGAGGCCAAATGCTGTAATTAAGGAGAGCTAATTTCTTTTTCCACTTCTAAGCTGCAGAATGGCTCGCCCCAGGTAAGCAGCAGGTTATCTCTTTTCTAGGAAATTTCACTCTGTTTTTTTTGTTCCTCAATCTAAAAATGGAATGCAGACCCTGAAAATAAATTCCCAGAGAACACCACTGTGCAAACATCCCAGGCTTTGATTCAAAGTGTTTGGATTAATTAGCTTAAACTGAAAGCTTTCATTCTGATTTCAGCCTCGGCTTTATGGACAAAAAAATTAAAGCAGCAAAGCTTTGGAAGTAGAAAAATCAAAATGTTCCAGCCTGGAAATATCAAAACAAGATGTTGAGCCTCGCTGAGCTGCTTTGTTGCTTTCTAAAAGCAAATGGCATCGAGACCAACACCTTTACAAGAAGCTTGGATCATTAAGCACTTCAAAAAAAAAAAAAAAGCCCTAGTTCAGCATAAGCAATTAATTTCTTAATTAGATTTTCTCTTTTTCTTCCAGAGGGAAGTCTAAAAATATTGATTTTTTCCATTTTATCCAAAGATTTCTTTAAATATGATTCCCTCACTGGATGGTTAAGCTGGAGCTTGAGCTGTGGGAATTACATGGGGTGGTTCATTTAAATTCACTTTGTCATCTTTCCTTCTCCTTGTCCTGTTTATTTCTGTTCCAGTGGCACAACAACACCAGGGTAAAAGCAGAGGATAATGCAGAAAAGAGAGACTGAAAGGAAAATTGAACATGAAACATTTTGGAAGTCTCATTTTCTAGAGGTGAAACACGTTTCCTTTGGAAGCCTCTCGGAGAAGAGCAGCTTTGATGTTTGGAGCAGTTTTCCCTGCTGGTTTTCAGTCAGCTCCATCCAAAGCAGCACCTGGATGAACCTTGGCTGGACATTCCCATCGGGATTTGCCACAGCATTACCTGACCTGGGCTGTCTTTAACTCAGGAACCATAAAATCCCTGCAGCAGCCTCGCTGACCAGTGAGTCACTGGGAGCTCCCAAAATCCCTGGAGAAGGGCTCCAGAGGGTTCTTTTCTCTGGAGATGTCCTCCAGACATGGCTCTTGTGTCCCTGCTGCTGCTCAGGGTGCTGCTCCCCGATTTTGGAGCTGTGCCTCGCTTTTCCTGGCGATCCCAATCCCGCAGCCCCACAGGGCTTGGGGGCTTTTGCCAGCCTGGGGAGCTGCTGGGGCTGGGGACAGCGGGGCTGGGGACAGCCGGGCAGGGCTGGGGACAGCCGGGCTGGGGACAGCCGGGCAGGGCTGGGGACAGCCGGGCTGCAACCGCGTTTTTCCGGGCTGGGATGCGGTGCAGCGGTTCCTGCTGCCATCTAATGGCTCTGACAATTAACGCCCGGCAGGGAGGGCCGGGCTGCAGGCAGGCTGCTGAGTCCCTGAGCTCTCCCGGGGGCTGCAGGAGGCCACACCGAGCCCAAAACACGGCACGATGTCCCTGAGGGGACACTGGGCACAGAGGGAAGGCAGGGACAGACATTCCTATTGCGAAGTTCAGGACAAGCTCCTTAGGGATGATGGGATGGTGCTTCTGGTGCCAGCGGCTCTGCCCTTCCTGGGCAGGGTGAGTGCCCCTCACACCCTGAAATGCAGGGATATGGGAACATCCTGAGCTGCAAGGACCCAGAGGATCAGCAGTGCAGCTCCTCACCCTGCACAGCCCCAAAATCCCAGCCTGGGATCCCTGCTGTCCAAACCCTCCTGGAGCTCTGGCAGCCTCAGGGCTGTGCCCATCCCTGGGCAGTGCCAGCTCTCTGCCTCTGGTCCTCCCTTCCTCCTTGCCATGCCTCATCCATGTCCTCACTGCCCTGGCTGTGTGTGGGGACACTCTGGAGGCTGTCCTGGCTGGTGGCACTGATGGTGACAGGCAGGAGCAGGGAGGGTTCCTGGGATTCACACCCAATGCCAGGGAGGAGACCTCAAACCACAGCTCCTGCTGTGGCAAAGGCCCCAGACCCACACGGATCCATCCACCACACACACACAGAGCCAGCTTTCCCATTTTCCAGTTTTGCAGTTTTCCAGGAGGGTTCATTTCCTCCCCTGGCTGAAAACAATGCAAGAGGAGCAGGACTCAGCATTTCTGAACACGCTGAGTTCAGCTCAGTTCAGCCCCAGAGCCCTCTTAACCCTTTAGCTGTGGGATGGAGCAGAATTCCCAGGGCAGCAGCAGCAGCTCTGGATTGCCTTGTGTTGAGAGAAGTCAGAAAGGGCTTGGAGGTGGAAGAAAATTCCCGAGGAGGAATTGTCTCTCCATCAGTGAGGAAAAAGGTCTGAGAGCCAGGCCAGCCTGGCTGCACTCAGGGACTGGCCACACCAGTTTGGCAGTGAAAGCCTTGAGATTTCCGTGTGCCCTCAGCCACGCATGAACCCCCCCTTCCCCAGTGCCCCGTTGCCAAAAAACCTGGGAAAATGCTGTCCCAAGGCCAGCCAGCCTTGGGGATGGAGGTACACGAGGGAGGCAGGTTCTCCAGGTGAGCAGCCCCAGGCATCCTGGATTCTTGGAAAACCTGGAGAGGGCAGGTGCTTATCGCTGCTCTGTGCCCATTTGCACAGGGTGACAGCAAAAGCAGAGCTCTGGAATGAGGAAATGTCCCCGAGGAATTGTCCCCTGTGCTCCTGCCAACTCCCAGCCCTCCCCCACTGCGATTCCAGAGGCAGGGAAGGGAAGCTCTGCTCCATCTCGCACCAAAGTGGGTGCCCCCACCCCTACCAGAGGATCAAACCATCACCCAAGAGTTTCTTTGGCCTCAAACAAAACCTTTCATCTTTTTTGTTTGCTTTTTCCTCCAGCGAAGCCGGGTCTGGGCTGACTTCCTCTGCTTTCAGGTTCAGTGTGAAATAACAAGCTGAAAAGCCACAAGGCTCCGTTTTTGAACCTGCCAAGGGATGGCCGACTTCAGAAGGAGCAGAAACGTCGGGAAAGCTCGGCGCTAACCATTTCATCGTTTCCAAGAGGAAAAAACCTCCGTGTGACTCCCTCTGCGGCGGACTTCAGCACAAATCCTGCTGTGCCCACAGATCCCCCGTTCCGTGCGCCTGTGTTTGCGTTTTGCCAGGGAGGAAGGGGGGTCGGAGCTGGGATTCCCCAGGGAATGCCTCTCCCGGGATTCTGCTGCCGGGATTCTGCCAGCAGGACACAGGTGAGGCCGGGAGAGGCTGCTCCTGCCAGGAGCGGGCACACGGTGCCCATGAGAGCCTCCCTGGCACCGATTCGTGCCGAGCTGGGCCAAGGAGGCGCCCGGCAATTCCGGGAGCCGGCGGTGCCGCGTTTCCAACCCAGCCCTGGGTAACTCATTGACCTCTGCTGGGAAGCGGAGGTTCCCAGGATGATAAGGAGCCCTTGGAAGGAATTCCTTCCCTCGTGTGAGGGAGTGGCAGCGACGGGCACGCTCGCAAACACGTCCGCAGCCCCGGCAGCTCCATCCCGGCGGCTCCGAGGGCTGGAATTGCGTGCGGGGCTCCGAGGGGCTGGAATCGCATGCCGGAGCTCTCCCGGAGGGAAGCGGAGCTGGCAGCAGGTCAGTAGAGCCGCTCTGTGTCCCCGGGGCTGTCCCCTGCCCTTTGTCCCAGCCGGGTGCTGGTGCGGGTGGCTGGGGCGATCCAGCGCCTCTGGAATTCCAGGCTGGGTGCGGAGTTTGGGGCTTTGCCTCTGCCTGGGTCAGGGGCTCGGGGATGGAGTTTGGGAACTGACTGGAGAAATGGGCTTGGGAAAGGGGGTTTGGGGGTGGGGGGCAGCCCCCAGAGCTCTGTCCCCAGCCGAGGGTGCCCGCACTGCCCCTCTCTCTCACCCCGTTCCGTGCCCAGGGCAGGGCAGCGTGGCTGGCACCGGGATTGCAGAGTGAGCAGAGCCCCCGGAGAGCGGGCACAGGCAGAGAACCCCCTCTGGAACAGGCTGAGATCCCAGCAGATATTCCAAACCTATCCCTGGCTTTTCCAGGGAGGCCAGGCTGCAGCAGCAGCAGCAGGGGGGGCTCTCCAGGGGACAGCCAGGATTTCTTGGGAAGCAGAGGGGTAGGAAGTGGAGTGAGAGGTTTTCAGCTTGCTGGCCAAAAGGCAAATTCCAGCTCAGGTCAAACAGGAGGTGACACCTTTGCTTGTACAGGGATGGGTTTGGTTGCTAAGTTGTCAAGGTGGACTTAAAAACAAAAAGACATTTCACAACCACAAAGGAAGACATTTGTGTTTAAAAAAAATTTAAAGCCCCATTTTGTTGATTTAAAAAAAAAAAAAAAATCCCCCGTTTAGAAGAAATTGATGCTAGCTGATGAGCAGGAGCTGCTGAAACCAAGAATCTTCTGAGGAAAGCAAAAAGCTTTGTTTTAAAACACTGCCCTGCTCGAGCTCTGAGAACCTGGACAGCATGGGCTCAAAGCAGCAACAGCCCTTGTGTAAAGGTGCCTGAATCCATCACAAAATTCCACCGGTGTGCCCTGAGCACAGCCAGGCTGCATTCCCCCCTGACTCTGCACCTTCAGAGCAGCTCTGGGTCGGCTGGGGAGGTTTTAGCTGTGGAAATTCCCAGGGTTGGTGAACAGGGACCTGGCTACTCCCCTTCCTGCAGCCCTGGGTGCACAGCCCTGGGGCTCAGCAGGAGGATGGAGGGGATGCTCCCTTGTCCAGGCACTCCTGGCATTTGGGGATCTGGATCAGGAATCCCCACTCCTGCTCTGACAGTGTGCCCTGAGCTGCTCCCAGTGCAGCTCTCCCTGCAGAGGTTTGGTCTGGCTTTCCTTTCCTGTGGAAGCTGCCAGCCCAGCCCCATGCCAGATGGGTTCCATCCTGCCACTCCCACAGCTGGGCACTCCTCAGGCTTTGCTTTAGGGGCACTGCAGCTGTGCCAGGCATGGGAATCTGTCTGGTGAGAAATTCCCTCTCTGGGTCATGGAATCACAGACATCACCAGCTCTGGGTTAAAAAGGACTTTAAAATTTACCTCTGTTCATAGGCAGGAACACCTTCCACTGCACCAGTGTGCTCAGAGCCTCTTCCAGCCTGGCCTTAATCACTCCCTGGATTAATTATTCCCTGCTCTGGAGGAGTCCAAGGCACTGCCATGGCTTGGGATGCAGTCTGGGAGAGCCAGCAATGCTCCTGGAGCAGCCCCAGCACACAAATCCCTGCAGTGGTGGCACTGCCTGGTTGCTGGAGTAAAACCCATCCCTGAAACCCCTCCCAGCCTGCAAGCTCTCTCCCTAAACCCTTGTGGGTTTTATTTTGCAGGGGCTGTGCTGCTGTTGCCCAGAGATGCTCTGCAGACCCCCCACAGCACAGTGAGCCCTCCCAGCCACCCCAAACCCCAACCCTGAGGGTGGGGAAGCTCTGAGGACCTGAGTGAGGAGGGAATGAGGCTCACCCTCATCCTGGGATGCCCGCGGAGCAGAGCTGCAGAGCTCACCTGGCTGTAGCTGGCAGAGATGCCCGTGGTGCTGCCAGCTGCCCCCACGGTGATGCGGGAGCAGCAGCGGGCAGGAAGGAGGTGCAGGATCCCGGCCAGCCCCGCATGGAGGACGCTGGGTGGGCCCCAGCTGGACATCCCCGAAGGTGAGGAGCAGCTCTGCCTCTGCAACCGGGCGAGATCAGCTTGGAGGGAGCAGCTGGGAGCGCTGGGGCAGGCTTGGCACAGCGAGGGATGCCGAGGAGGAATGCCAGGAATGTGCCGTGTGGGATGGGCACTGCCCTCCCCGAGGCAGAAAAGGAGGCTCAGGAGGGACCTGGTGGCTCTGCACAGCTCCTGACAGGAGGGGACACCAGGGGGGTCGGGCTGTGCTCCAGGGAACAGGGACAGGAGGAGTGGAAACCATCCCAAATTGCCCCAGGGAGGGTTTGGGTTGGATATCAGGGGAAATCTCTCCTTGGAAAGGCTTGGCAAGCACTGGCACTGCCCGTCCAGGACATGGTGGAGTCCCCATTTATAAAACACATGTGGCACTTAGGGACACAATTTAGTGCTGGCCTTGGCAGCATTAGGTGTGTGGCCAGACCCGATGCCCTTAAAAGCCTTTCCAAACCCGAGTGCTGCAGTGGCTCCATCCCCAGCCCTTCCCGTGCCCGTGCCCGCCGCCCCCGCCGTGGCAGTGCCCGCTCAAAGGGGACATTGTGCATTGTGGCCGTGCCCCGCCGCGGTGCCGGGCGGGCAGCGAGCAGCCCTGCCTGTGCCAGCCCTCTGCCAGCCCTCTGCTGGTGTCCCTGCACACATGGGCTGCTGCCTGGGGACCCCCTGGCACCCGGACCTGGCGCTGGGATGCACAGGTAAGGTGCCCGTGGGGCTGCAGAGCTCCTGCCATGGGATGGGACCCCTGGGGACACCCTGGCACTGGGCACTGAGCACTTTTCTTTCCTCTGGGATGGCTCCTGGTGCTCTCTCCTCTTGATTGGGGTGTGTAGGGAGTGAGGCAGGGCGTTTTGGCCGGGGAGGGCACAGGATGGCACAGGATGACTCGGGGGTTGGTTTGTTCCCATGCTGTTGGCGTTTCCCCTCCCTGCCCAGGAGCCCTCCAAGCACAGCCCCTGCGCTGCTGGCATCCCCCATTCCCATTCCAGGGTGTCCCAGTGAGCTGGAGGAGGGACGTGGCTCAGGGCCAGCCACTGTGGCCACGTGTGGCCCAGCATGGCCAGGGCCAGGAGGTGCCCTGAGCACCCAGCCCTGGAGCCAGGAGTGCAGCCCTGAGTGCTGGAACCTGCCCTGGCTGGGGCTGGAGCTCTTTCCTGCCCACTGGCACAAAATATTTTGGCACTGAGGAGGTCAGTGAGTCACTGGCACGGCTGGGAACAGCTCCCCAGCTGCACTTTCAATTGGTCTCTTGAAAAAAAAAAAAAAAAAAGCTCCCAGTTCCCTTTCTGAGCCTGGCTGAAATGAAAATAAACACTGAGAGCAACCAGAGTGAGCCCTGGCTCCGGGGAGCCATGGACAGGCTCTGCCCTGCTGCTGGCACAGGTGGCACGAGCAGTGTCCCACCTGCCACATCCCAGGGACACCTCTCAGGCTGGGAGAGTCTTGCCAGGGATCTGGACGCCTCTGCCCCCGCTCCGTGTTCCCCAGGTGAGGAGTGTGAGTCCTGCTGGCCCCCCTGCCCCGAGCTCCTGCCCCCCGGGGACCGCCTGCATCGCCGGGGACAATGGTGGAGGGACACGAGCACGGCACCGGGGACACGGCCCCAGGACATGGCACCAGGTACCCAACAACAGGGAATGGCACTGGGGACACATCCACAGGGAATGGCACCGGGGACATGCCCCCAGGACGTGGCACCAGGTACCCAACAACAGGGAATGGCACCAGGTACCCATCCACAGGGAATGGTATCAGGGACACATCTTCAGGGAATGGCATCAGGTACCCAGCACCAGGTACCCAACAACAGGGAATGGCACCAGGTACCCATCCACAGGGAATGGCACCAGGTACCCATCCACAGGGAATGGCACTGGGGACACATCCACAGGGAATGGCACCAGGAAAACATCCACAGGGAATGGCACCAGGGACCCAACAACAGGTAATGGCATCAGGGACACATACCCAGGGCATGGCACCAGGGACATGTCCACAGGACATGACATCAGGTAGCCAATCCCAAACCCATCCCCATGGCGTGGCACAGGGACACATCCCCAGGGCATGGGATCAGGGACACATCCCCACCCCCATCCCCAGGGCATGGCACTGGTGCCCACCCCCATGCCCATTCCCAGGGCATGGCACTGGTGCCCACCCCCAGGCCCTGCCAGGCTCTGCTGGGCACAGAGAGGGGAGGAGGGCAGCAATGGCCAGAGCCAGCTCAGATTTGGTTCTGCCTCCCTTCACTTCCCCTTCTCCATTTCCTCATGTGGGGGGCATGGAGCTGGCACATGAAACGTTAAGACTTTGTTCAATGTAGACTCTTTTCTTTCAAAGCAAAACTTATTCATGGCCTGTCCAGCCTTGGGCTGTTCTTTTCTACTTGCTAGCTCTACACGAGAATTCTATTTCTCGAAATAAGAATTCTATTTCTGCATGCAAATACCAATTTATTTGAGTGAGTGGCAAAGCTGGCTCAGTGAAAAGAGCTGTAGAACAGAGTTCTGGTCAAAGAAGTGACTTTAAAAAGCTGCTGCACATTCCACACCCCCAGGTACATGTTGATGTTACAAATCCTGTCTGATTACTGACAAAAATTGGGGTTTAATCTGGTTATCCCTCCACTGCCAGTGCAGCTGTGAAGAGCAGGGCTGGAGTTGTGTGTGCCTCAGCTTTCATTAACATAATTAGCAGCTCAGGTTGCAGGCCCTGAATCCTTTATGGCAATAGCTGGTGATGTGTGGAGCAGGGAGAATGCTGCTTGGATTTTGGATACCCAGCAGAGCAGGCAGGGGAGACAATCTCATTTTGATTTTTAAATTTTTGAACAAAGACGTTTGCAAGGCCTTGGCTCTCCTGTGCTGGGGAGTTGAGGCCTCCTCCAAAAAAATCCATGTTGGGGATTCACCCATTTAGCAGATCTGCTCATCTGAGAGTCTGGCCAGGAGAAAGGAGGGAAATCCCCTCACTCCAGAGCCACTCCAGCACTGGGAAAAAAAAAACCAAAAAAAAAAAAAACAACATCAGGAGAATGATGGAGTTAGACCCCATCACTCCCATGGATCTGTCCAACCTTGAGCATGACTCCAGGGTGGTTCCAGAGTCCCACAGTCCCAGCCAGACGTGCAGGGCTGTGCTCCCAGGACTCTCAGCTGAGGCAGGGCATCCAAGAGCTCTGCCACAGCATTCCCAGCAGCTCTGCTGTTCTCTCCTCTCCAGGTAAGGCTGGGCTGGCAGAGCAGAGCAGCCCCGCTCCCGAGGCAGGACAGGGCCCCCCGGAGCCCTCGGTGGTGCTGCTGGCTCCCAGGGACAGCTTTCCCCCAGGTAAGGAGCTCCTGGGGCATCCCACAGATTTCCTGGCTCCCCGCGGTGCCTCGGGTCTCACCTGGTGCCTGAAGGATGAGCACGGGCAGTGCTCGTGTTGTGTGAGCACCACAGCCAGGCTGGGGGCTCTGGTGGCCCTGGCAGGGTGGCAGGGGTGGCTCTGGGTGCCACGGAGCTCCTCCTCCCCTTTCATCCTGCTCTTTTCCCTTCCAAGAGCTCTCCCTCTCCTTCTCCGTGGAGAGCCGCTCCTGCCGCTGCCGCAACGCCCGGCTCCAGGAGGCTGCCAGGAAGAAGCTGTGGGCTCTGGAGAGCGATGACAGAGGTGTCTGTGCCCTGTTCAAGGTACAAACCCCGAGCTGGCATGCTGCCATGCTCCTGGAATGCTGGGAGGTGTGCTGGGGTGCCAATCCCAGCCGAGGAGTTCCTCCAAGGCCACTGCAGGGGACTCTGGAGGGGACTGGAATGATGGGGAAGATGAACTGATGGTAGGTGAGAGGCAAAGCTGGGCCTTGTGTTGTTTTGGGGGATCTGAGCCTAAACAGCCAGGAATTCCCAGGGCTGGGATCACCAAATCCACGTCCCTGCTGGAGGGGACAGCTCTGGACAGACACAGAGCTCTCAGGCTGGGTTTTATACAAACAAATCCCAGCTACAGAGAGGATGCCTGGACTGCACTCTCCTTCCCTGCTGGATTTCAAGGCTCCAGGAGTGTCCCTTGATGCTGCTTTGTCCCCTGTGCAGGAGCTGTCAGCCAGGCTGGTCTGCACGCAGGCACACGAGGATCGTTTCCTCCTCACCTTCAAAACCCTGGAGGAAGTCTGGAAGTTCTCCACCTATCTGACCTTAGGTAATGTTTCCAAGGTCTGAGCAGGCAGTGTGAGAAGGGCTTTTGGAGAAGGCATTGCCTGACACTACAGAACTGCAATGTTCAGGCTGCACAGTGAGAAATTAATTAGAAAACTTTGCAATGTGTTGTTTATGAAATCTCTGTTTGCATCAGTGAGAATCAGGAGGATTCTTTTTGGGAAATTTTGGAGACAAAATTAGAAGCTTTTGCCTGACATTTGGAAATCCCCAAGACCCCTCCTGCTGCCCAGGGAAGGAGGTGCTGATGCTGCTGCCCCTCTTGGCTCCTCAGGGTACGTGGGGACCTGCCTGGAGCAGCTGCTCTTTGCCCAGGAGTTCTGGCTGGACTGTGCCCTGGTGGAGGACACAGAGATCAGGGTCACCGTGGATGAGGAGCACCTGGCCACCATCTACATGGATCTGCTCCTCCAGGAAGGTGTGATGGGAACGCACACGGGGGAATTCCTGAAAATCCCGCGGCAGGGCTGGGCTGCAGCCCCTGGTGCACTGATCCCACCTCTGACTCTCTCTGCAGGGAACTTTTTCTGCAGGGCAGTGCCTGGCGTCTGCAAGTTGGAGCAGGAGGGAGAGGAGGGTCTGCAGCTCTGCAGGAACGAGCTGATCCACGTGAAGAGTGTTGGACAGGATTCCAAATGGGAAGGGATGTCCCTGCTGACAGGGCAGCGAGGCGTGGTGCCCGGGACTGCTCTGGAGCCCATACCTCACCCCTTTTACCAGTAAGTGGTGAATGAAAGGGCTCAGAGCAGGATTCTTTCCTGATCCTGATGCATGACTGGTACCAAGGCTGGCTGGGAAATTCCCCTTGTCTTTGGCAAAGGGCAAGAGCCTCACAATTCCATGAGGATATTTCCAGGAGGATCCACGTTAGGCATAAAGGCTGGAATCAGTGCAGGTGCATTGGGACACAGCAAGGACATGCTCCTACTTCAGATGTGGTTTTTGTAAGATATTGATTGAGGTCATACATGAGGTTATCTCTGATTTACAGATGAAGAAGTGGCAGAAAAAAAAATCAGGCAATGCCAGCCAAAGTGGAACTTAACGTTCGTCACCTGGCTGAGCCTTTTACTTGGAGAAAGATGGCAAATTTATTGTGCTCTTCCCCTGTGGTGTGACACCATCCCTGAGCTCAGGAGTGCTCATTGAGGGTCCCTTTTGCCTTGCAGGTGGTTCCTGAGGAATTATTCTGTGAGCTTTGGCCTCTCCCAGGAGATCAGTGGGACGAGCTCTCGGGCCATTGGTGAGTGACACCTGTGCAAGGCACTGTCCCAGGGCTGGGCACAAAACCTGGGTTTGCCCACAAATGGCCACAAATCCATCTGTTCTTCTGGGCCTGACCCCCCTACAGGGGCTCTGAGGGAATGCTGCACCTCTGGACTCTCTGGAATGCAGATCAGAACTTGCAAAGCACGTTCTGAGGAGCACAGAGAGCTGCTGGTGACACCCTCCTGCCACTGGCTTGTCCCTGTCCTACTTCAATTTTATGTTTCTTTTCATTCTTTGAGAGTGAGGTTTCAAATCATGAGGTTCCCACCTTGTGCTCACATGAAACCTGTGTCCACCACCCAGCCCTTAACCCAGTTCAGTCCAGAGCAAGCTGGGCACAGGAGGTCCCTGCAGGTGCGGCTTTGTAATGTAGGGATGGACATTTGCACTGTCCAGGATTTCACTCCTGGCAGAGTTGACATAGGGCAGTGTCTGTAAAAATTCATATTTCCAGTCTCCTCCCAGGCTGCAGCTCACAGAGGGGTGGAGTTATCCATCCCTCTTTTATTTTGTATTATAACCCACTTCTCAAGGAGAAAAGGCAGAGAGCTGGGCCCAAGATCACAATAAATCTTAAGGGAGAGAGGGGCAGCCCTCTCCAGCCCTCTCCCTGGCCAGGTCTTTTCCAGGGAGGAGGTTTTAGCAGGAATCCCACTGAAATTCCCTTTTTTGCCTTGGTTTCCCAGTCAGAGGCAGGTGCATCGCCACCAAGGACCACAGAGGAGCAGCGTGGGATGAGCTGAGCTTCTCCAAAGGAGATCCCATAGAAATCATTGGATTCTTCATCCCTGGGCTGCCCTGGTTTGTGGGCAAATCCCTCAGCACCAGGAGCATTGGCTTCGTTCCCACCCAACACGTAAATCCCGAGGCTTGCGAACCTCTGTGAGTTTATTTAAATTAAATTCTGGAGAAAAGGGAGGGGAGGCTCCAAATCCCACCTTAAGGCTGTGTGAGAGCCCAGGGCAGGTGATTCCCCTTGCAGGACCTTCACAGAGGGTGGGTTTGAGGTGTGAGCAGAAGCTTTGGCTTCCCTTCCTCTGGCACCTTTCTGTTCCTTCATGGAGAACATGGATGGGGAAGGTGTCCAGAATCCTGTGTTCATCTGCAACACAACTTCTGTGGTGGGAGGAAGAGAAGGCATGGGGAAACTTCTCATCCCATCCCATCCCATCCCATCCCATTCCATCCCATCCCATCCCATCCCATCCCACCCCAGAGGCCAGCTGCAGTGTCAGGGGCTGGGGACACGCTGACTCTTCTCTCCTGCCCCACCCAGGGGAAAGGGCTTTGTGTTTCTGAGCGAAGAGGAGAAGTCCCCAGTGCTGCACATCCCCTGCAATGGTGACGAGCAGCACTTTGCCACCCTCCTGGGGGAGCTGGCACACACTGACATCACCTCTGTGTACAGGCTGGGTGAGTGTCCCCTCCCCTCACATCCCAGCCCCTGCACCCCCAGGGAGAGCTGGGCAGGCCTGGAGAGCCCCAAGGTCATGGGGGTGCAGTGGAGGCAACTTCTGGGGTGGAGGCAGCACAAACGCGTGCTCAGCCTGGTGACGGAAGCTGAGGTGTCCCCAGGAGGTGACCCTGCCATGCTGGACTCTGTGGGGACATTCTCTGCTGCCAGGGCAGCTCCTGAGCTGGGATTCACCCTGGCAGACCCTGCTCTCCACTGAGCCTGGTCTGCAGCACCAGGGTTGGGGTTTCTGGGGGCTCTCACCATCTCTGTTCTGGCTGGGTGGCTCTGGGACTTCAGCTGGTTTCTGCACATTGACACTGACCAAGGATTTGGGGTTTTGTTTTCTGTTTGTCTCTCTGTACAGCTGGGTTTGAGCCCACAGCCATGTTCCCACAAGTGCCACCAGGTGAGTACTAGGAGGGGACAGAGGGGAGGCTTTGGTGATGGCTTCTGAGGGTGAATTTGGACAGGAGGAAACATCAGAGAATAGTTTGGGTAGGGAGGAACATTAAAGGTCATCCAGCCCACCCTCTGCCATGGTCAGGGACACCTTCCACCATCCCAGATTTCTCCAAGCCCTGCCCAACCTGGCCTTGGACACTTCCAGGGGTGGGGCAGCCACAGGGAAGAATTTCTTCCTGATCCCACTGTGGTTTTCCTGTCCCTTCCAGAGGCTGCTCTCCATGGCAGTACAGAAATCCAGGTGCTCCAGTCTTGGGAGGAGATCAATGACTGGGCTACCAGCAGCACCTCGGAGCTGTCCAGCCCAGGCAGTGAAACAGCCCCTGCCACACTGGAAGATGTTCTCCTGGAGAAGCTGGACGACTTGGATTATCCCAAATTCTTCATCGACCTCAATGCTGGCCACATGGAGGATGCTGATGTCTTTGACCCCATATTGACCTTCCTCAACCAAGACAGTTTCGTGCCCAGCTTTCAAAGCTTTTATGATCTCAGCTTTTCCTTTCTCCACTCCACTTTTTATGGTTTCTCTGATGAGGATGAACTGGTCCTGTACCTCGAGACTTCCCGGAACTGGGCCAAGAGGACTCGTTCAGTTTGGGCTCACGTCAGGCTCTGTTTCCTCTTGGGGAAGCTCTGCATCAAAAAGGTCAAGTTCTCCCAGGCCCGGGTGTACTTTGAGGAGGCCATGAGTGTCCTGGACAGGGGCTTTGGGGACCTGCCCCTGCTGGCAGCGCTGCACGGGAGCCTCGCCTCCATCTACCTGAAGCAGAACATGAAGCACAAGTTCTCCTCCCTGCTGGGGAAGACGGTGACCCTGCTGGTGTGCCTGCCTGGCCGCTCCTTCAGCTCGGAGAACGAGCTGGAGCTCCTCACCTACATCCTGAGGGAATCCATCGCCGTGGGCAACGCTCCGCTGGAGGCCCGCATCTGCTTCCTCATCGTCAAGCTCTTCCTGCAGCTGGGCAGGACCGAGGAGGTGCTGCCCTTTCTGGAGCACCTCCAGTGTCTCAGCACCACCTGGCTCAGCCCGGGCACCCGTGCTGGGCCCCTGGATGCCGCTGCCACCTTGGGCTACCTCTATGACAAGAAGTGCCTGCCGAACATCGCGCTGGCCTCCGTCAGGTCCTTCGTTCCCAGCAGCGCCAAGGGGACGCCGACCCCCATCTGGCGAGCTGGCTTCATCCTCCAAAATGCTTCCAAACTCCTGGGGGGGAAGCAGCAGCTGGGCAGGAGCAGCATCCCAGCCCTGGCTTGCCTGTACCTCAGGCAAGCGCTGCAGTTCTGCTGCGAGAGCAGGGCCGTGCCCATGCAGCGGACGCTCTGCGCCATCCTGTCCAGCACGTACCTCCAGCACGGGCTGCTGGACGGGGCTGTCCCTTACGCAGCCAGGGCTGCAGCCCTGGGCAGGCTGCTGGGTGAGGAGGAGGCTTTTGAGTCCTCGCTGTCCCTGGCGTGGCTGTACCTCCTGCAGCGGCGGCCGGGCCCGGCCGGGCCCGTCCTGCGGCAGCTGCGGCGCTGGCTGCGCGGCGCGGCCTGCGAGACGCCGCGCGGGGCCCTGCACAACCTGCTGGCCGTGGCCCTCGGCGCCCAGGGCCGCGTCCAGGAGGCCGCCGAGAACTTCCTGAGGGCCCTGCACAAGGCCAAGGAGGCGGGGAGCAGGAGGAACCAGGCCGTGTCCCTGGCCAACCTGGGCCAGCTGAGCCTGTCGTGCGGGGCCGCCCAGCTGGCCGAGCTGTACCTGCTGTGGTCGGTGCGGCTCTACGCCGAGCTCCAGGGCCACCAGGAGCTGGACACGGAGCTGGCACAGGTGCTGCTGTGGCTGGCACAGGCCATGGTGGACAGGCAGAGGATGGGAGATGCCAAGCTGTGCTATGAACTGGCGCTGGGGTTTGCCCTGAGGTGGCAGAACCTGAGGAGTGAGTATGGAAGGGAGCTGGGCAGTGTTTGACCATGCCACGTCCCCAACGCTGTCCCCTGAGCTGTCCTTCTCCCTTTCCCCGTGCCACACAGGTCAGCTGCACGCCACGGAGCGTCTGTGCCATTTCTACAGCAGCGTGTGCCCCGACCTGCGGGCCTGCATCACCTACCACGAGCACTGGGCGTCCCTGGCACGGCAGCTGCAGGACAGGGAGCTGGAGGCCAGTGCCAGGCAGGCCCTCAGCCGGCTCTACCAGGCTTTGGGCACCCCTGAGTGAGTGCCTGGGCTGCAGGATGCTGCCAGAGTGCAGCGGCTGTCCTGGGGTGTCCCTGGAGCAGGGTGGGAAGGGCTGTGGTGGTGGCTCCATCTGCCCCACGGTTCAGGTTCTGGGATTTATGAGCTGTCACCGTGCTCTGAGAGGGAGCAGCTCAATGTCAACCAGAGCTGGGCAAGTGTTGTCCCAGACAGAGCTGGAGTGTGGCCAGACAGTTTTTCAGGACACATCCAGGTTTCAGTAGAGTGACAGGGAATTCATTGCTTCCTCTGGAAGCTTATCCCAATGATTAATCACCACTCCCCAGCAAGAACAGGCTCCTTATCTGCTCTCTGAGTAAGGCTGGTTTCAGCTCCAGCTGCCGAGGCTGCCCTTCCTATATCTGCTGTGACATTGTCCCCAGGGAGGGACTAAAGACACAGAAGAGGTGCTTAAAATTCAGAATCAGCTCACCTTTAATCCCTGCCTAACACTGCCTGGGAGAGGAGAGGAGAGGAGAGAGGAGAGGAGAGGAGAGGAGAGGAGAGGAGAGGAGAGGAGAGGAGGAGGCTGGGACAGGCCACAGACCTTGAAGACAATCAGATCAAAGAGTGGAGAGCCAGTTGCCAGTCCCAGCAGGACAGATGGGCAGGGCTGTCCCCAGCTGGGGTGTTCACCTCCCCAGCCAGGTCACGGTGAGTGCAGGGGGAAGGTATTTAGGGAGCAGATGCCTGTCATGTGAACAGTGCTATTTAGGATCACAAAGCACCCCATTCCCTGGGCTCCCAGGACAGCTGGGGCCTGCTTGCCAGGACAGACACCAAGCAAACAAAGTGTCCTGGACACTGCTGGCTCTCCCTTCCCCACAGCTGAGTTCGTGTCCAGCCCTCTGGCTCATCCCACTGCCTGGCCCTGTGTCCTCCAGTGACCAGGGGCTGCAAAAGGGGCCTGGACATGTAGCCAGAGATCTCACAAGGGACAAACTCCAGGCAAAGGTGTGGGTTTGGGACATGTAGGTACAAGCATTCCCTGCCTGTGCTCCCATGTGGAGCTGGGAGTGACTTTGGGATCAGTTTAGGGAGGCAAATTGGGTTTGGAGGTGACCTGGATGAAGCCCTCTTAATCCCACAGGGGTGAGGAGCAGCCTGAGTAGGACCACTGGTCCTAAGGTGGCCAAATGCCCATTAAACCTGAGCATTAAAGCATGGAGATGTCCATGATCCTACCAGGACACCTTGCTCAGAGCTGACCACGTCCTTTTGTCCCCAGCCTTTGGTAACTACAGGAGGAGAGGGCAGGGGGTCAGTGCCATGGGGAGGTGGCCTGGGCACAGCTCTGTGACTCCTCTGAGGTGGCTTTTTGCCTGTTGCCATCGCAGGGCTTTGAGACAATCCCTGGACTGCACCAAGCAGAGCCTGAGGATCTTCATCGACCTCGAGGAGGTTGTGAAGGCAGCAGAGGCCTGGCTGCAGGCAGGAAAACTCTATTATCTTCTGCAGGAGGATGAGCTGGTGGAAATGTACTTCCAGGTATGGGGGAGGTGGCTGGAGCTGTGCCATGCATTCCCTTCACAGTCTTTTGGGGCTGGGAAACCTGGAAGGGAAACTTCTGAGCACTGTGAAGCTGCTGCTGGAAGGAGGAGCTCTTGCCTTGCCCTCAGGCACTGGATTTCCTCTCTTTCTTTCCATCCACTGAGTTTACAGGATTTTGGGGTGAAAAGAAGTGAATTCATTGAGTCAGAAAGTGATGTGGGAGTGCCAAAAGAAGCTGGAGGTGCCAAGTGAGCAGTTCCCATTGAAATATCCATAAATAAGGGATAAGTGCCAGGGAAGTCCTTGGAGTTGAAGACTTCTGGCACCTCTCCATCTCCAGCATTATTTTACCAGCTGAGCTGCAAAGTGGAAGAGCAGCTCCTGAAACCTGGGGTTTATTTAATCACACCAGTGTCTCTGCCTTTCCAAGTGTCACTCCAGCCCCTTTTTCCTCGCAGGCAGCCATCCAGACTGCTCTGAAAGGGGACAACTTCTCCTTGGCCATGGATCTCTATGAGAAAGCAGGTGACACCTTCTTCAACGGCAGCCGGAGCAGGGCCCGGGCAGTGGAGTTTTACAGGGTATGGAGCCCTCTGAGCACTTCTGTCCCTGTGTCCCCACAGCGTGGGGCTGGGGGGGCTTTGCCCCAAGGATGGAGGGTGGAGAGGGATGGGGTGAGGGTGCCAGAGTGGGAGGCTTGGAGCACAGGTTTGCAAAAAAACCCAGAGATCATTTGGGGTTGGGAATGGGGTCCTTCCATTACAAATCCTGGTGGTGTTGAGTGTGAGCTGGTCACTCCTGGGTACACCCAGTCAGAATTCCAGGCACCCAAGGAAGGGCACGGATGTGAGGCTCAGGCTTTGAGAGCCACTGGGATTTAAAACTCATTCTCAAGGGAAAGAAGGGACTAAAACCTAAACCTGCAGTGCCCATCCCCAGCCTCGGTCCCTGTCCTGCTGCTCTGCCACCCCTCCCAGGCAGTGCTGATCCTCCAGGAACCCCCTGAACTCGCCATTCTCTCTCCTCAGGGAGGAGCTGTGCCCTTGGCCAGGAAACTCAAGGCCACCCAGACAGAGCTGCGGCTGTTCAACAAGCTGGCAGAGCTGCAGATCAGCCTGCAGGGCTACGAGAAGGCTCTGGAGTTTGCCACGCTGGCAGCCAGGCTCAGCCTCAGGGTCGGTGAGTGATTTACACCAAAAGTTACTAGGAATTACTGGGCAGTGGGTGATTTTTTGAGGGAGACACTGAATCTTATGGATGGGAACAAGATCCATGTGAAAAGGGGATCTCCTGCTTTCCTGACACTGCTGGACCTGCTCTTACCCAAAGTCATGACAGCTTTTTAAGGCCATTTCCCCTTTTTTTCAGCTGTGTGACAGCCGAGGGTTTTTGTTACCCCAGAGCACAGGAAGTCTGGTGAAAGCACAGGACTCAGCAGTTCCTCTCTGCCCTGGTTCTGCTAAAAACTTCACCCCTTCCCAGAAATAGTTTGGATGGGCAAAATGCCAACTTAAATATCTGGGATGGGACCAATCTTACACCAGCCCCTTCCAGCACCCAAAAAAATCCCCTGGCTGAATGATGCTCCTGTCCAGCTGTGCCATCAACCACCCTGCCCATGGCTCTGCTTTCTCTCAGATGTATCCATGCCCCCAAGGCTGCTGAGAAGATGCATCCAGAGTGGATCTGCAGGGCTGGGGATGGATTGAGCTGGATCAGCAACTTTTCCAGGAGATTCATGGCAGGAGCTGGTTAATTGCACACACCTTTTTCCAGATCCATGGCAGGAGCTGGTTGATCCCACCTCTCTCTTTCCCAGGAGATCAGCTGCAGGAGCTGGTTGATCCCATATTTTCTTTCCCAGGGGATCAGCTGCAGGAGCTGGTTGATCCCACCCCTCTCTTTCCCAGGGGATCAGCTGCAGGAGCTGGTTAATCCCACCTCTCTCTTTCCCAGGGGATCAGCTGCAGGAGCTGGTTGCCTTCCACCGCCTGGCCACAGCCTATGACCTGCTGCACATGCACGAGATGGCCGAGGATTGCTACCTGAAGACGCTGGCCATGCGTCCCCCTGTGCTGCAGAGCTCAGCAGAGGCCCTGTACTACTGCAAGGTCTACTGGCACCTGGGCAACCTGGCCCTGCACAAGCTGAAGGTAAGAAAGGAGCCCTGCCATGGTGCTGTGGCTTGGATGGAGAGCTGAGGGTGGAGGCCACATCTTCTGCTTTTGAATGGAATGGTGCTGGCACTCAGCTCCATTGCAGTGAAATTGGTGTCCCTGGGTCCTGCCTGGACCCCCAGGCTCTGCTCCAGATCCCCCCTACCCCGTGAGCTCCTTCCTAACTCCTGTCCCGTGTTTTCTGCTCAGGATGAACAGGATGCAGCCTCCTACTTCCTGCTGGCCCTCGCCGCAGCCACCGAGCTGGGAGACCAGGAGCTGCAAGCCCTGCTCTGTGCCAAGCTGGGTGCCATCCCCAGAGCCCCAGGGGCACCTGAGGGCACTCCAGGCTGTGCCACCGCCCGGCCCCGGTGGCTGAGCGAAGGTGGCCACGTGGTGTGACCCTTGTGCCACCCTGGGGACACCAGTGGAGCCATCCAGCAGCACCGTGCAAGGTCCGTGTGCCCTCCAGGAGACTCCTGCACCACGTCCTGAGGGGCTGGAAGGGTTTGGGCTCCTCCTCCCAAGCACTTGGGACCCTGCCCATGTTTTTCAGGAGCAGGGCTGTGCCCAGAGCGGAGGTGGCACAGCCAAGGCAGGGCGAGGCCCAGCAGAGGTGCTGGAGCTGGGGGTGCAGCAGGGCTGAGCTCCAGGGGGGTTCAGGAGTGCCCTGCCCAGGATGGGGATGGGGAGTGCTGCCATGTGCCTGTCCCCACAGCTCCCCACACCTTGCAGCAGCTCAGCCCGACCCAAACGTGTGTGGAATGGCAGCTCCTTTATTTACACCTGGTTTTTATCCTCGTCTGCCCCACGAGTCTGTGAGGGCAGCTCTGCCAAGCCCCTCTCCTGTAAAAAAAAAAAGCTTTTGGCAGTGAGGGAGCAGAGGTGCTGGAGCTGGGGGTGCAGCAGGGCTGAGCTCCGGGGGGGTTCAGGAGTGCCCTGCCCAGGATGGGGATGGGGAGTGCTGCCATGTGCCTGTCCCCACAGCTCCCCACACCTTGCAGCAGCTCAGCCCGACCCAAACGTGTGTGGAATGGCAGCTCCTTTATTTACACCTGGTTTTTATCCTCGTCTGCCCCACGAGTCTGTGAGGGCAGCTCTGCCAAGCCCCTCTCCTGTAAAAACCACCACCAAAGCTTTTGGCAGTGAGGAACAGAATTAGGGAAGCAAGGAGCAATAAAGGGGCTGGTCCAGCCTTATGGGGGGCAGAAACAATGCTCAGGGGAGAGGCAGAGCCCACCCTGACCCCAGCCCTGCCACCCAGCCTGGAGCAGGAGCACAGAACGGGGAGCTGCTGGAGTCCCCATCCCCGGAGGTGTCCAAATGCAGAAGTGGCATTTGGGGACACAGATTATTGCCGGGGCGATGGTCGGGCTCGATGACCTTGGAGGGATTTCCCAGCCCGAGCGGCTCTCCCGGGCACGGGCAGGATGCTCAGCTCTGCTCTCAGCCACCAGAGAGCAATAAATGCCCATTTTTACAGCGGGAGCGGCTTCCCTACAAACCCGAGCCCGGCACAGGGAAGAAGGAGAGCTTTTCCCAGCTGATCCCTTTGCTTTGGCAACCAGTGGCCATGTGGGCTTCACAGCCAGACCCCTCTCCCAGCTCCTCCAGCTCCCTGCCCCTGCTGCCCTGCCTGGCGTTGTTAAATGCACAATATTTATTTCCTCCCTGCTCTCTACAAAAGCTGAATTCAGCTTCCCCTCGCAGTCCCTTCCAGGGGTTTGTCACCGGGGCAATGGTTATTTACTGCTTGTTTACCGAGCATTCCTGCACTGCTGCCTCACACCCAGCCCGGGGCAGGGGGATCTCCATCCTGGGGGGAGCCCAGCTGGCTCAGGGCTCCCCAAAACCTCCCTGCCCACCTGACCTCTGCAGCTGCTCGGTGCTCACCACGCCAGGGCAGGATGCTTTCTGCAGTTTTTCACTCAGTTCTCCTTTTTCTTTTGGTCTAGATGGTCTGTAAGGACCATTCCAACCCCTTAACGTGCTCTGGATCCTTTCACACGTGGAGAAAAGTCACATCTTTGTGGCAAGTAAGGACCATTCCGACCCCTTAACGTGCTCTGGATCCTTTCACACGTGGGGAAAAGCACGGTGTCACACCTTTGTGGCAGGAGGAAGGTGGACAGCTGGAAATCAGGGTGTGGAGAGGAGCTGGGATGGCTCTGGAAGCCCTGAGAGCTTTGTGTAAGCACACAGGCTCAGTGTCTGAGCTGGCCTGACCCAGCCCAGCTCCAGGAGTCAGAGTCAGCGATGTTCTGATTCAGGGACTCTGGAGCTGCTTTGGAGCCAAATGTGTCCTTAAATCACAGCAAAACAAATTTGTGGTGCCTGTACGGGGAAAAAGTCTTCCTCCTTGGGAGCATCCTGTAAAATATCATTTTCTCTGTTCCTCCCCTGCCTGCTCCCACATGCTGTGATGCAGTGTGATGAGAGCTCAGGCTGGCCAGGGCTAATTAAAATTCACAATACAGCGAAATTTAAAGCTGTTGTTCATGTGCACCAAGGAAATTTCCATCCCTCCAGGCACCAGATTTATGGGCTGAGAAATCCGGGGACTTTGTGGCAGAGGAGGTCACCAGGTGGTGGCTCAGCTCCTGCAGCTCCTGTCCTCCAGCTGCCCAGGATGGGGACACTGTCCCTCCTTCCTGGGGCACTCTGTGGGACACTGCAGGAGGGATGCCCCTGAGGGCTGCAGAGCCTGGCCAGGGCTGTGCTGCTGCTCCAGGAGAAGGCTCTGGGAAGAGAAGGAATGGGGGCACACAAGAATTCTCCTGCAGAAAGCATCGACCACCAGCGTCCTGCTCCCTCAGGCAGAAATAGGGGAAAGGGAAGGGGTGGATCAAATCTCCTCTGACACCAGCGGTGCCCTGGCGTGTGACTCCTGCCCCAGCCACATGTGACTGCCTGTTCCATGCCCAGGCCAGGAGTTTTCCTTCCTCCCTGCAGCCAGAGAGGCTGGAAATAGGCCTGGAGGGAGCCACGTGCAGCAGCACGTGCTGCTCAGAGCAGCTCCTTCCTCCCAGCACTTCCAGAAGCTGCTGGGAGCTGCAGGGACACCCCTGCTTTGGATTTGGTGCCCCAGTCCTTCCCCAGTTTGGCCTTCCAGGCACCAGCACCCCCAGTCCTGGCACTGGGGTCCCTGTGTTTGTTTGATGCCTCAGGGGGCCGTTTAAGGCCTGGAGGAACGAGGAGCTGCATTTCTCTCCCATATGTTCATTCTTGGACAGTGGAAATACCACGACAGGAATAATTCTTGCATCATCTGAGCTCCGGTGTGAGCCTCCCGTGGAATGGGGAGAAAGGAAATGCTGACAATGGAAATACAGATATGGACAGAGAGCTGGATTTGTTTGGATTTTCGTGGAAATGACTCGTTTCTGCAGAAATACAGCACCCAACAATAACTGCTGTTATCAGCAGACATTTTTTCATCATTCCTTCGTGGCACAGTGGTGCAAACTGGGCTGGATGAGAGACCTGGCGTGGAGGAGCAGCGAGGCTGAGGCAGAGATAAGCCCAGAGCTCGGCTTATCTCAGAGCTGGCTGCTCCTCTCTGGGCAGCATCTCCTGCTGTTGCCTGGCTCAGTAATGAGGAGTTGGTAAACACCAGCTGTTCTGCTGAGCAGAGCTGGGGGGAGTGTGTAAACTGGGTAATTTAGATTAAAAATCATTTATTTGCACTGCAACCTGCTTGTTCAGTGATAATTGGGCTCATAAATATGTATGGAGGAGGAGGAGCAGGGGCTGAGGCAGAGCCAGGAGTCACCAAGTGTGGCTGCAGGGGCTTGAATAAAACCTCCATCTGTGCCCTGGGGTGAAAACACCTGGAACAGACCTGGGATTCCTGCAGTGCTCTGGGCCTGCCCTGAGAGCTCACCCTGCTCCTGGGACAGGGGAGAAGGGGCAGAGGGGCAGCAGGGAAGTGACTCTGGATGGGGAATAGAGAGGCCAGATGTAAAAATAGCTCCCAGCAGGGATTTGAACCTCCTCGTGCTGAGGTGGCATCAGGCAGGGGGCACTCCTGGAGCTGCCACCTCTGCTGGCACTGCCCACAGTCACCCGAGTGTCCCTGGCACTCCCCACCTGGGATGGGCATTTCCAGGGAGAACATCCCTGTGGGCATGGAGAGGGCAGGGAGAGCGAGCTGCTAAAGATGGGGCACTTCTTTAACCCCTTTAACCCCTTCTTTAACCTTCTAAAACCCCTTCCAAGCATCCAGCTGGTGAAACCCCACCTGCCAGTGCCAGGGACGTGTGGATGTGGCTCTGCTGGGTGCCAGGGGATGGTGACAGCTCCCTGCTCCTGCCTTGTCCCGGGTTAGGAGGTGCCAGGGTGAACTGGGGGTCCCAGGGAAGCTGCTCAGAGCTCCTGTGGGCTGTGCCAGGAGTGGCAGCTCCTCACAGAGGGAAAGAGGCAGGAAAAGAGCAGGAAACAGGTGGGAAACTTGGAGGAAAAAGGAAGAAAACTGGGAGGAAACTGGCAGGAAAACTGGGAGAAAACAGGTGGCAAACAGGCAGGAAACAAAAAGGGAAACTGGGAGGAAACTGGGAGGAAATGGGCAGGAAAACTGGCAGGAAAAAGGCAGGAAAACTGTCAGGAAAACTGGGAGAAAATAAGTGGAAGACAGGTGGGAAACACGCAGGAAACAGAGGAAAACTGGGAGGAAATAGGCAGGAAAATTGGCAGGAAAAAGGCAGGGAAAAGGCAGGAAAACTGGGAGGAAACTGGAGGAAATAGGCAGGAAAACCATCAGGAAAACTGGGAAGAAACAGGTGGGAAACAGGCAGGAAATAGGCAGGAAACAGGTAGGAAAACTGGGAGGAAACTGGGAGGAAATAGGCAGGGAAGAGACAGGAAAGCTGGGAGGAAAGAGGGAGGAAAGAGGGAGGAAAACTGTCAAGAAACTGGCAGGAAAACTGGGAGGAAAGCTGGCATAAGAGTCTCTCCTCCCCACAGCACTGGGGACAAGTGTGGGATGCAGCACAAGTGCCAGCAATTGCTGTCACACTGCAGGAGAGGGAGGGAAATGAAAAAGACTCCGCATTTGGCCGTGGAGACTCTTGGAATGCAGTCCAGGAATCGGGATGAACACACAGAAATGAGCTCCTGAGCAGCAGATGGGTTTTGAGGAAGGAAGAATAAATCCTTACATAACCAAACTCCCTCTGTGCTCTGGTTATGGGCTGCTTGTTTTCTTTTGCTGTTTTGTTTGGGTTTTTTTCTTTCTTCTGCACCTGCTCTGACCGTGGCACTGGGGCCACACAAGAGCATAAAGCCACACTGGTTATAAATACTGCATCTGCAGGATTTATGGGCTGGTTGTGGGGTTTAATCCTCCCTGGGACACCCTCAGCTCCTTGCAGCTGATTGTTTAATGGCAGCATGATTTTTTCTTC